TTTTTACGATCTAATTTAAGTATACTTTGTTATCCACCATCTACTATCGTTTAATCTACTTTCAAATGATGTTTTTATACGATAATTTACTGTTGGAAGGGAAATTAAGTCCTCTTTGTATATTATGCCCTTCCTTTATTATTATTATTATTATTATTATTATTATTATTATTATTATTATTATTATTATTATTATTATTATTATTATTATTATTATCATTATCATCATAGTAAGCTATATAAAGAGCCACACTGAAAAAGAAAAATCGAGATTTATACCATTAATTAAAGGTGTCAGTGCAGATACAGCTAAAAAAAGAATGAAAGAATAGAAAGTCGACGATTTACGTAAGAAACACATGTTAGCTGATCTTTTAAACTTATCAAGAGTCGGAGAAGTTACAATCTCTGGAGGCAATCTATTCCAAAGTCTACAAATAGCAATAAAAAAGCATTTTGAAAACTGACTTGTAGGCAATCGACTTACATCAAATGTCATTGAACTGAGAATGAAAAAAAAGAATGTAGGTCATAATACTAATTACTTCTGGTAATTCTTGCAGGTTGATAAAAATCAGTAAAAACTCATAGAGGGGATGTGAATTATCAGTTAGTAAAAATTAAGAGCAAAAGCAAAGAACTTTTTTGTTTTGAATTTATTTGACACATATTTCTCTATATGGTGAGAATACAGGTCTTAGTTAAATCAGAATATTGACTCATAAATTTACACACACACACACACGCACGCACGCACGCACGCACGCACGCACACACACACACACCACACACACACACACACACACACACACACACACACACACACACACACACACACACACACACACACACACACACACACACATACACACACACACACATAGATAGATAGATAGAAAAATAGACAGAATAAATTGATTCATCTATCTGTTTATCTGACCGACAGACAGATAGATCGACAGATAGATAGATTTTTTTCCTCAAACTGTATAGTATCAATATGAATTCAGAAAGAGCACTGTATGTTTTAAAAACTATAAATATGGCTAAAATCTGCAATGAAATATATCTTTTAGTCGAAAAGGATAAAATAAACGTGTTTAGATTTTTTTTTCTTACAATTTAAAGGTGCATTACCTAAAAGATTTAAAGATATATAGATGATAATAATAATTTTAGCACTAATATTTATATTTGTCAGATATATGGTGATAAAGATTAAATGATAATCTTCTCTTAATGCAAGTTAATTTAATGCTGATGAAGACTTGTAGGGAAAAATCAGAAGATGCTATGCCTAAGTTGTGTGACACTGAGAAGTGCTTGTACATTTTAAGATATTGATAATGTCTTCATTTTTGTTATTCACCACTTAGCATAAAAGAGAGAAAATATGCGTAGCTTAAAGATGTTTTTATAATTTAATTTGTGTGACTATTAAGGACACTGTTGTATAATTCATATCTAATCTTATAAAGATTCGAAAGATGTTTTACTTGAGTTTAGTGACACCAAATGTCACGTCATCTTTTAAATCTATTGTGATTTCATTCCGATTTGTAATGTCTCACAAAATGTTATTCTTGAATATTCTGTAGAATAAAAGATATAATTGACTGTATTTCCTATATTATTTTACCAAATAAAGATAGATTTGGTCTTAATCTAAGCTATAATTAGCATGAAATCAAAATTGAAAGATACTATACTTCCATGACGTCACACCAAAACAATGTCCAGTTGGCAAAACGTAAACAAACACCGTAATGAACAGATCGCTTTCCTTTTTCCCTCCTATTTAAGGCCTTAAAGGGAGATAAAGAGAACAGTAGATTAGAAAAGAGGAGGAAAGAAAGGAGAAAACACACAACAATGTCTTGGCTGAGTATTAATTTAAATGATAGCTTGAATAGTTTAAAAGGCCAGATATCAACATTGACAAGAGAAGTTCTGTCTGAAGAAATCGAAGATGGTAGGAACTTTCGTCTTTTTTTTTGTTATTTTTATGGTCATTCTTCTGGTTTATTTTATTGTTGTTTATGCTATTTTGAGATCATTCTATCCTTCTTGCAATGAATTTCATGGTTTCAACAGTTATTAGGTATATGTCCTATTCATCACTCCCATTGTCATTATTACGTCATCTATCCTTGCAGTAATTCCTACCTATGTTTTTATAGTTTTATTGTATTTTTGTATTTGTACTGTATTTGTTGCATTTGTACTGTTTATTATATTTGTACCTATGCACCTGACACAAGCCGTAGATTTTCGGATATATTTGTCACTGCTGAAAGCTCAGAGGCCAATAAACTTATATAATAAACTCAAAAAGTGGACAAACCTTTATGTTTTAGTGGAATGGAGCTTCTATGTAGGTCTTTGTGATTTTTTGTCGAAAAATGATCCACGTCGAATTCATTATGTGAGAAGTAACATGGTAGAAGGTTGTTGGCTTGTGTACAGATCACTAAGGCTGAAATTGCCACATGATTTTGTA